GGCCGGATAGACCAGATACCAGATAGTAACCACATATCCATTTCATCTCTAAAATAAATCTTTTATACTGTGATATATGGGTGGTGATCATGCCACTATGCAGTGATCCCATAATCAAAATAACAACCAGTTGCACAGACATCCATTAACATATCATTAATTTAAAATGACATTACCCATACAAATTTGACATTCTTTAGAGCTTAAAGGCATTATTAAACCCTAATGGATGTATTACGCATTGAAGATAGAGAATCTTTAATAAATAAAAAATCTTCAATGAGTAAAGATTCTCAAGTGCATACAATACTAAAGTTTCAGTATGTTGTATTTCATAAAAGATATTATTATAATAAAGCCATATTATAATGAGTTAATGGAAAGGGGTTGCACCTTAATAGCATATTAATATCTGTTTGTTTTAGCAGTAGTTTATTTGTTAGAAGTTAGGAAAATTAAAGCTTTATCATATAAAGATAACAAAATAACTTACAACCAAAAAGAAGAAACCTGTTGTCATTGCTACTCCTGTTAAAAAATAAAATAAAAGTTAAAATACTTAGACTTTTGGTTTTTGAAACTTTACTGTTACTTTTACACTGTTAAAAATAAAATTTAAGTTTTTATAATTGTATATTATTTGAAATGTTGTTGTATTTTTTTTGTTTCTATATGCAATATTTAAAATTAAAACAAAAAAAATAGAAAAGTTTACGTAAGTAAGATTTGTTTAAGTATAATAAAGCTTATATTTGTAATAATTTACTGAAGATAGAATACATGGTTTGAAGGACGAAACCCTTACCTCTTAATGTTGCTTTCGTTTATATCGCACACGAAATCTGTACAAAAATACATAAGAATATTAATCTCTGCATTACAAACTCAATATAAAGAGCGAAATGCATTGTTTTTTATGTTGCACTTACGTTTTGAATTGTTAGCCAAATATATCTGCACTGATTGTTTGAAGTTTGATCATGTCTCACTGTTCAATTTTAAAATACTTCGTATTTAATTTAACTGAGCTTTTATAAATCATTTCAAATGCACTATTTGTTTTTCAAATAATTCTGTCAATCCACCCATTTTTTAATCAATCACATTTCGACCCGTTCCAATTTACGGTAATGAACTTTACTCCACAATCTAAAAAATACGTAAAATAATATATGAATTTCGATAATGGAATAAATTTTATTAATTGAATTAAAACTTTTAGGAAAACAAAGAATATGACTTTATATCCTACCTACTTTTACTTATTTACTTTATAATTTGATATATCTTAAATCGGTGTCTGTACAAATTTAATTCATTTGCTAATGTTATATTTTTTTTCTGTATATAAATTATGGGGTCGACCCCATACAGGCCTTGGCGAAATAGTCAAAGAGAAAAAAATACCGAAATAGTCAGAGAGAAGGAAAGAAAGCCATCTGAAGCAACTTTTTGATACTATCAATTGAATCAAAAGTGCTACCCCGATTAAATAGAGTAGATTTTTAGAACGAGATTTCATTTCATACATAACTTTTGTGCCTTTGTCATGAAAACGAAAACATTTTGATTCGAGGGACAATTTCGTGAGCGAAATTTAACTGAAAACCGTACTAAAGCTGTAAAAAAAACTTTGACTTCGATTCAGTGTTGCTAGCTACAAATTATGTATTTTTTATATTTTCGTTGTTACCTAACCACTGAGCTACCCAAGACCTAACAGGACTGATGTATTCTTCAAGCACATATTACTTTTTCACTACTACATGGCGTATTTTTGGCAGGCTGGTTTTATATCCAATTCATTTACTCTTCTTAACAGCCTCCCTGAAGCCATCAGGAGATCACGAAATAAATTGAATAAAATAAAATGTCCACTTCTTTCTTTTGCAAAACTTGTGAAGATTGTCATTATCATTTGTTTATATGTAATTATATTAGCTGAATATATGTAATTATGTGTAAGTCTATTTATATTATCCAAATGTTATATTTTATTGTATGCTTATTATTAGTTTAGTATTATTGTTGTTGTAGTTTTCAAATCATTCATCTGTGCTTACCATGGTAGTCAATACAAGACTACCATGGTAAGCATAGTTGTAAGATTTAAAATGTTGTTATTTTTGTATGAATCGTGAAAAAACGTATTGCAAGATTCACTTGGACAAACATTGTTGACAATCTTAACTGTTGAAATGTATGAAAAACTACTGAATTAAAAATACCAAATAATGAATGAATGAATGAAATATTCTTTATTTTACATACACCATGCAGTCAAAAAATTTACAGATATAGTCTAATAATCAGTACAATCGGCGGCCTTATCGCTTAGATTTAGCTTAGCTTAGCAAAATGAAAGAACGAGACACACGGCCTCCGTAGTGACTACCTGTCTCAGCTTGGATTATTTAATTGATAGTACTAAAGTTTTCCTTATGTCAATTTTTCTGAGTTTCAATCCTCTTCTAAAGTTTTAAGTCCATGGCAGGATTGTTGCGAATATCAGCATCAACATTGGCATCCGCTGAGTATAAGCTTTGGTTTTAATTTCATCAGTATCCGCTGATACTATAAAAACCCGCATCAGCGACAACCTTGGTCTAGGCCATATTATGCGTCTTTATTTAAAAAGCGGTATCTATAGATATAACCGAGCGAAGAATTTTAATGTAGTAGTATTTAATAAAATAAAGAAACTTCAAAAATTTATATCATTAGATGGCAGCAAAAATTCTTCTTTTTCTTCTTCTTTTATTAATGGCTTATCTGCGCATTTCGCACATTTCTGCCAATGTCAAGTGAATAAAAAAAACGCAGCAAAAATTATAGGATCTAAATATCAATTCATGACGTTAGACCAAAGAGAATAGAATAAGGAAGTATTTAAAAAAATAAAGAAACTACAAAGATTTATGTCACTAGATGGCCGCACAAATTTTTGTATCTTAACGTCAATTCTTGACGTTAAACCAAAGAGAATAGAATTGTTGGTGTTGTTATGGATCTGATAACTTGGATTAATATCGAGTTGAAATTGAATCAGCTCGAATTATGCAAACGCAACTCGATTAATACAAAGTAATTATTGAGTAAATTTCTTTTTTATTTGTATAGAGAAAATGGAAACTAACTTCATGGAAGTGAGCACAAGTTTTTTTTTTAATTTATGGAAATCAATTGAATTAATGCTGTGATATAATTAAAAGTGGCATTTAGCTACGGTACAAAAAAATATTACCGCCAAATAGTTTTTATAAATAAAATACTTATGCCATGGTAGGTCTAGGAATTTTTCATTATAATATTTTACAAAAGTTCTGAAAACAATAACAAACAGGTAAGTTAGTTTTTTTGCTATTAGTTATTTGTTGAACTTACAAAAACACAACATCATGTCTTAATAATATTTTTATATTATGTATGGTGTATGAATGAATAGGGTTTATTAATCAGCAACAAAAGTCATAAAACGATTATTATAAAAAAAAAACGTTTATTATCTATATACTTACCCGATATGTATCAAATATATGACTTCTGGCTAAAATGACGTTTGTGCAAAGTTTAACGTGCTTTTGAAATTAAGACTTTAAAAAACTATGATCAGTTATTAAATCTTATAATTATAATTAAATCATCTTAATAATCATTAAGCAATCAACAAGAACCGTCTGTTCTAAACGAACAACAAGGTTATAACTTTAAATTTCAAAATCACAAAGACTCGTACAGTTATTATACTATTACTAATAATCTTGCATGTCGACGGCGGACGTTGAGCCATGTGTTAAATAATTCGTACGGTGGGTATGTGCTTTTTGGTTCTTACAATAGTATTGTTAATAATAAATTGACTTCATACACAACCTACTCTAGAAATCAGTTTTATTGAAATATATTATTTACTAAATACCTTGAGTAGTCATGCTCTCTTAAAAAGCAACCAATAAGTTGGCACATCACTAATGTTGACGTATCAACCAAACATCGTTCCTCCACACGTAAAATAATAAACTACTTAAACTTACGATTAAAATAAATTAAAATTAATTTGAAAGTTAAAAATTATAAGAAACACAAAACGATGTCATATTTATTAATTTTCGATACTCAATTTACTTTTATTACGTCAGAAACAAAATTTGAATCTATATCATAAACAAAATCCAAACATCGCGAGTGACATCTAGTATGACTTCAAGAACTAATTTTTATTTTTTAAATAATTCCTCATTGTCAGTGATAAATGGATCTGATAACTCGGATTAATATACAGTTGAAATTCAATGAGGAATTATTTTAGAAAAAAAGAAAGCACTTAAAAGGCACCGCACTATATGGCGACTCTAGCAAAAGTTGATTTTTGAAGGAAACGAATGGACCAAAGACAGTCATTTCCGTTCCTTTTAACTAATACAATAAAAAATTGAAATTTGAAAAGTTTGTAACTTAGATATCAATACAAATACAAAAAAAAATACAAATAGAATATGAGTTGTTTATTGAATTGTGAAAACTAAGTTACTTTTAAACATGAAATAAAACCGGAAGAGTTGTCATGGAGAAATCAAGAACGTACCGTAGCGACATCTAGTTTGAACTCACTGACTTTTATTTTAAATACTTCCTCATTGTAATGTAATGCAACTTTTGTTATACAGTTCTTACTTCACCCGAATTCTTATTTAATTGTTAAAATATCTGCTTCAGTTTTTTTAGACATGTTCTCAAGCAATCTAAACTTCTCTCGAGTATAAATATGCGAGTGTTTTAATAGTATAGCTCTACAAATAGTCCAAGATTTTTATATATTTATTAAAAAAAATAATAATGCAAAATAAGAATATCTTAACATCTTGTTCTAGTGTGTGATAATGATAAATGTATCAACCACGGCGGAATATGTGTTTGTTCTTTCTGAAAACGTTATTTTTTGAATAGAAAATTTACTTTTATTTATAGTTTGTAATGGCAACACCGACCTTTTTGCTTGCAAATGAAATGTGTGCGCCATGACGCGCCGGTGAATTTTGTTAAAAAACTGACGTAATTTTTGTATATTAGTTTACAAAAGGTGAGATTCTATTTCCGTGAATTTTAATTATTGTTTATCTTCAATCTTTTCCATGTGAGTAATATCTGTGATGTTTTTGTAGATTTCACAATGGCCGATCAAGTCGACTCAATGTCAGACGCCGAGCTTCGGACAAAATTGGCCGAGCATGGGTTCCCTATCATGCCAATAACAGCATCCACTAGGAACCTGCTGGTAAAAAAATTGAAACTTGTGCTCGATAATAAAAGTAAGCCGAGGAATAGTGTTGACAGTAAGGTCGAGAATAGGCGGTCGCTCGCCCGGTATTCAAGTGGTGAAGAATCTGACTTAGATACGACTAGTAATGTTAAAGAGAAACGTGGTCGCCGTGCTACAACGGGTGGCGCAATGTTACCACCTGTGAATAAAGCTAAACGACAGCCTGTTAAAAAAGGTTCACCTGTAAAACAGGACTCTGATAAGGGATCTGAGTCTGAAGAGGATAAACCACCTGTTCGCACGCATGAAGAAGTAGAAACAGTAACAACGCGTCGTGTTACCCGCACTTACGCCACTAACGATCAAGATGACTATGAAACAGGATCTGATAGTGATGTGGATACTGGCAAAAAGACTTCATCTCCATTCCGAAGCAACTCTCGTTCTAGTGACTACATTTCTAGCACTTTACCAACTGTTGATGCTGCAACTAGCCCTCCAAAAACATCTTTATTTTCACGTCCATCCATATCACCAGGGTTTTCATCTACTCTCTCATCATCAGACCATTTAAATTCAATTCGTTCAAGACTTGGATTAACATCAACTTTAGGAGATAAGCCCTCAGTCAGCTCTTATAAACCAAGTTTCCCATCCAGTTCATACCAAGCATCAACAGATGAAGTAGAATCGCCATATCTTAGTAATTTTACGAGACGATTGTCTGCATTAAAAAATGAACAAAAACCAATGTCATATGTTGACCGGGACACAAACAATGGTAGCACAATACTTTCACGTAGATCATATATAACTGGAGTTCCAAGGTCCGATGATTATAAAACAGCCAACGACAAAAAATTCTTAAAGAATAATCTTGTATCTTTGGCTCTTGTTGTATTAGTTGCACTTTTTTTTTTTTGCTTATTTTTCATGTATATAGTTAAGAAAAATGATATCACATCAGTGGTTGATGATCAAAATAGTGTCATACCAATTTGTCAATTAAATATACCAAACAATAGGCCAGGCATTAACTGTGTGCCTAAAGAACAAGTCAGCTATGCTAAAGATCTTTTGAAAGTTATACATCCTGAATTGACATCTCTTGCTGCTGCATACAAATGTGGAACTCCTGGGGTCATGCCATATCTCACTGAGCGAGAAATTATTGACATTGCTAATGCCAGAGCAGGCTCTGTTGATATTAGTCAGTGTCGGACAGATCTTAATAACTTGCAAGTTTTAATAGTCAATAACCCTCGATGGGGACTCAGTGTTGTCCAATTAAAGAACCTTTACACTAAAGATGTTGATTATACCCCCATTATTTCTACTGATATTGTAGTACAGCAACGAAATAAAGGGAGCGTTGCTTTGGCTCTAACTGATCCATCTACACCACTGAGTTGTTTTTTAATTAATACATTATATTCAGCTGGATCTACTCTTATTCTAGTTGGACTTCTAGCTTTGCTCTTACTTGGCTTACAAAGATTTTACTCCTATTATATGAGATATCAGAAGAGAAAAAGTGAAGAGATCTATTCTATGGTGGAACAGATTATAGAAGTGATATCCCAAGAGACAGAAGATAGTGGAGAACCCTACATATCTGTGGATCATGTCCGTGACACTCTTATTTCACCACAAAATAGAGAAAAAATGGCTTCAGTGTGGGATGCAGCTGTTAAATTCATCCAAAGAAATGAGAGTAGAGTGAGGATGGAAGTGCAGTCTGTAGATGGTGAGGACTGCAGGGTCTGGCGATGGATTTCAGCTCACAGCAGCCCTAAGCGCAATGCTGCATGGCAAGGGCAGGCTTTTGAAACTCAAGAAGGCTCTGTCAACAATTTGACTGTATCACCAACACCATGTCTCAAAATACGCCACATGTTCGACAAAAATGATACAAATCCAAATCTGAGGACTGTCATCCAAGATGCTATTCTAGAGAAGTGTGGAGAGCGCTGTAACATTTTACATATTGACATAGAGAGAATGTCTTGCTGTGTGTATGTGAAATGCGCGACGCCGGCAGACGCTGGAGTTGTCTACCGTAGCTTGCATGGGTGGTGGTACGAGGGCAATCTCATAACTGTCAAGTACTTGCATTTGGAACGTTACATGCAACGGTTTCCAAACTCGCCCTCTGTTGGTCCATATTTGAAGTCTTCTCGTCAGCGTCGAAGCAACTGGGAAGAGTGAGGAAATGTTTTTTATTGAGTTCATCAATGTTAATGTATTTGTGATTACCTAGACTGTCACTAGAATTCATGAAATGATGTACAAATATGCTTGTGGGTTATTTATTGCAGATTTAATGGTTCTGTATATCTGTATACATTTATTACACTTATTTACATTTATTTTCATTAAATAGAAATATTAATTTAATACATACTAGGTATAAAAACAAACCTCATCATAAGATGTTAATTGACTTCGAATTATTTAAATTATCTCCATTCATAATAAACTGTAACAATGTTATGATCCACATGTGTTATTAACAGTTTTGGCTAAAGGTGAATGAGGACTTTATTTTTTTAAAGTTTTAGTTTTAAGTGGCTAAGTCCAGTTTGACATGGCAGTCTATGAAGATAACGCCACTGGTATTTTTAAGTACTTCAGTCTACAACAACTTTTCTTTATCTAAGAATGTGATGTTTAATTGAAATTAATAGCAATGCAAATTCAGGATTTAGTAAATATATATACAGCTTGTTATTGTCAAATAAAATAAATTTTAAATTAATATAATTTTGAACATATATTATTAGTTGCTGATCTGATATGTCCTGTTATTGGTATAAGGTGCTGGCCAAACTAATTGCCTTACATTTTGTGAACATGCTTTACATAAAATTTTAGATTATCATTGAGTATAAAATTCTGTTCGGTTGAAATGTTTATGTAAATATCTGGCATCACAATGTTCAATTCGTAAATTCTATTATTAAGGTAAGTAGTTGTAATGCTTTGATTTGTTACTGAATTTTACTAATGTTTTGAACAAATTGTTAAAAGAGGTAGGTACTTGTAAGTAGAATAAGATATTTCAGATACATGTACATTTTAATTAACGTCTAATTTTATGTTTAGCACATCGCAAGTTCTCGCGTGTGTTGTAGTTTTTGGGGCACTATTTTATTGTTTTTCAGTTTTATCACTTAAGGTGATACAATTGAAGAGGAGTCTACTTACCTTTCTTTTAGTTGGCTGATGCCGCATTATATCGAAGTCTCAATTGGGTGGCAGGCTGACTTTCTAATGATATAGTTCATTTATTATATTGAGACGAAATATTGTGAGATTATATTTCATGACTCTTAACAAAACTAAGACAATGAGATGGTTCCCCAACAACTGAATCTCATCAATGCGGATTCTAACGTGAACTTTTTTATTAGAAAAGACTCGAAAGTATCAACGGAATAAGTGTGCCTGTTAATGAGATTCGGTTTTAAAGTTGACATTTATTTTAAGCATTTCTGCTAACTGCTCTTATTAATTTCTAGCTTTGTTTTTAAGGTTTGATTTGGATTTTTTTTAATAAATTTACTTAAGTGAAGTGTTGTTTTAGTTAATGCCTTCATTTCAACGTATAATTGATATTTTTATAAAGAATGTTTAAGTTTAATTAATGGGATATAATAATTTAGTTAGGGGGGGGGACTAGAACTGCTTACATATTATTACACTTCAACTTTGATACCATAACAAGTGGCTCGTTTTAAGGTTATATTTATGAGCTCCTGGGTTCAGCTCCCAATCGAATCAATGTAGCAAATGAACTTTTCTGGGGGTAAACGCAATCACTGGGCTAGTGTACTTTTAAATAGATCGAACACGACCAAAAACCACCAGCCAAGACTGACCTATTTTTAAAAGCTTTACCTATAATCTATAGATAATTGACTATTTAGTTTTCGAAATTTTAGGTCCAATAGTTTTTTAGATGAGTATTAGGTTGAGAAATCGTGGAAATGGTTTAGAATCACCTAATTATTTTGATAACGCGAAAACTTATCTTGAAATTATAAAAATATGCTTTAGATTCTCTAAGCCTATCATTTGTGACGCATTTTTTTTTCTCATTACCCCAAGCGGCCCCCATGTGTTGCAGGGCTGGACGTCGGCAAAGCACCGTATTCCTTTTTCATAATTATATCTACTATAGTTATGCTGTCTCTCACACCAAGCAGATACCCACTAAGTTACGTCTGTGACTGATGATGACGTGATTTTCTTTTTGGAAATTGATTATAAATACAGGATTCATTTACTTTCCAAAATACTAATAACAGCTAGTTGCACAAAAGTTCATTAAAATTGTTATTAGTTTAAAGTGACATTACCTATACAAATTTGACATTCGTTAGACCTTAAATGCTTCATTTAACGCTAATGGACGTTTGTGCAACTGACCAATATTTATAATGATAAATGAGGGAGTCAATGGGCGAAGAATTCATTTTAAAATAGAAGGGTGGCGCTACCAGATTGACATGCCTCCATGTTTAAAATTTGTTTATTTATAACACGACTGCGCGGGTGCCAAATTTCAACTTAACTTCTCCAGAATTTTCGGAGCAATAGACGGTCGGACAGGTAGTTAACCGAATGATTCATTATCCTTCATATGAGGTGTGGAACTCCAAAAACACATTTGTATAAAACGTACGAGAGGAAATATAAACAATTAAAATAATACATAAGACTTAAAACCAAAATTCATTTAATCTTAATCAACTAACAACAAACGGCTAACAAAATAATTTATGGAAATGTAGGCAAATAATGGCATTTTGTAGACCATATCTTAAACTATTACCTATCGCAATCTAAAACTATCAGAATTTTAATGACTCCCATTCTATGTAACCGTATTTCGGGAAACATAGTTTTCACTTTTATTAGTTAAACCATATGGAGATAGGTAATATAGGAGCTAATTGCCAACTGTAGATCAATAGCGAAGCAGTTTTTCAAGTTGATCCAAACATCGCCATTTGGTCGGCAGATAGAGAGGTTCAAAAACGTGTGGGAAAGGCGAATCCCATCCTGTCACCCGACTTACCGGTGCTTCCAGGTGCAGAAAACACTCTTCCTGCAAAAACAAGAAATAATAATAAAATGTAGGCAACCAGCTAAAGCCGTGAAGAGTGTGAGGGTGTTTGGTATAGGAGGAACAAAAAGTCGATTATTTTTTAATATAATATATTTATTTAATTAAAGTATAAACCATTGTATCTCATAGGTAGTTCATTGATCCCCTTACTAAAGAAAAAATTGGAACGGGAATCAATAAAATCTTTGAAGGCGATTTGCACTGCCCCATCGGAGTTGAATTTTTTTCCCTTGCCATAAGTTATCCAAATTTCGAAAAAAATGGTAATCTGTTGGAGCAAGGTCCGGGGAGTACATGGATGTCTAGACATTCCAATTGAAGCTCTTCTAATTTGGTAGCCGTCTGTTGTGCAGTGTGTGGTCTAGCGTTGTCGTGAAGTAGAGCGATTGACCAGCCTCGGTTGTTTAACAGCTAGTTTTTCCAGCATGGTTTGCAATTGCTGAAAATAGACGTCTGCCCAGATTTGAGAAAACTGTAATGAACGACACCGGCACTAATCCACCAAACGCTAACAAGTAACTTTTTTTCGCTTGGGGCAGGATTTGGCTGGCATGCCAAGGTGTAACCATTGCGATGAGCGCTTCCGATTATAGTAGAGAATCCACTTTTCATCACAGGTAATGATTCGATTTAAAAACCCTTCATTATTGTGCCGGTTAAGTAATGTAACGCAGCAGTCGTAGCGCGTTTGCCGGTTTGCTTCTCTCAATTCACGAGGTACCCACCTTTCAAGCTTTTTAATCTTTCCAATTTGCTTTAAGTGGATTAAAACAGTTTTATTACTAATACCGCAGCCTACAGCTAACTCGGACGTGGTTTGCGATGGATCCGCTTCCACAGCAGCCTTCAAATCTTTATTATTAACTTGGGTCTCCGGCTGTCCACGGGCTTTCCAGATTTTCATTTCCAGAACGAAAACGTTGGAACCAAAAACGCAGTGCTTTCTTTTGTGACACAACCGTCACACACCATTAACCCTTCGAGCCGTTTCCGCAGCGCTGGTACCACGGTGGAACTCGTACTCATAAATAACACGATATTTCAAGTTTTCCATTATTTATACTGGGTAACGTAAATAGGAGAAACAGAAGAAAAAAAAAAAAACAAATGAATGCCTAGTAACAAAACACAAATACATGTGTAAATAAATGGCTGTATAAATTTGAATTCGGAATTCCTAACCAAGGAGGAGAAATTTGTGAATAAAGTGGCCAGTAAGACAAAACTTTAATTTCATTGTAATTACCTAATAGTAATAATAATTTAATTAATATAATTAAAATTCAAATAATTATAATCATATACATGTGAGTCCTAAAATTATTAATACATTTATATCTTAATTTTGTGAGAGACTAAAGCCCGAAATTGATTTCAGCGGAAACCTGTGTGACAGGTCAACAGGATCTCCCCCGCGGTTCGATATAATGCAATATTAAATCAAAACATAAATGTGAATGTAGTTCATTCATTTATATCGCCAATTTTGTGAGGAAACTATCTGTAATCCGCGCTGTAGGTATTGTGTGCACACTGACCTGCTATACTGGAGTCTTAAGCTAATCTTAATTAAAAATCTGCCAGTGAGCATCCACCTTTATATCATCATCATTAGCTTATCAACGTCCTCATTGCTGTGGCATAGGCCTGTCAAATAGGTGGAACCAACTAAAGAAAAATCTATCGGTGTTTCTGTGGATAACGCGCATGTCTTCATAAAATAGTACAGTTGTTCTTATTTCCATTTTAGTGCACAGTAGAATGTTGTACCCACTCCAGTTAAAATTGGGAATACTACTCTTGAAGTTGTCGACCATTATGTTAACCTAGGACAGACAGTCCAGCTAGGCAAGTTCAACTTCGAGAAAGAGATCTCCCGTCGAATTCAGCTCGGATGGACAGCGTCATTTTTAATTAATTAATTTATTAGGTAACACTACAGACAAAAATCAAAATATATATGTATAAGTAACAACTGTGTAGTACTAAATTAATATCCTAAAGGTGTTTACACAATGAGATATTATAACGAAATTTTTTTATTTTTGCTAAAATGAAATAACAGAAAGAAGAAGTATAATATCAATTTGGATGATTAAAAAGATGCAACATATAGGTCTAGCACATTTTTTTAAATAAAGTTTTTGAATTTAAGTAGATTGGCATTAAATGCATCGAATTAGGAATCAGGAGATCCGTAGGAGAACTACCGGACTACGCTCAGTGGGTAGCGTAGAGGTAGACCTCTCACCAAGGGGTGTGTGTGTGTGTGTGTGTGTGTGTGTTTTATGTGGGATGTCTAAAATGAAGTATTTAAAAAAAAACTTCTGCGTGGTTACCTATTAAAGATATGACCAAATGTGGATTGCTATATCATTAAACATTGACGCTTAAACAATATTATTAATTTTAGGTGGTCCTTTTATAAAATATAACCATTTCATGAAATGGCCAGCCGGATCAGGAAATCATCAAATATACGATATAGCCACGACAGATACATTAATAGGCTAATGATGTTAGCGGTCATTTATTGTGTATACTTTATAAATCATTTCAATTAATCAAAGTAAGTACAACAATGTTGGATGTATGTATAATATGGTCTTCAATCCGGCTTGAGGGACCATTTTTGTATAATAAAAAAACAAACATTTAAAATCAAAATATCACGCTTTTACGCCATAAAGGTTGACAAGATTAAACAAACGGATATATTTCAAATGGAATTTGATGTTTGGGGGAAAATGGTGCTTTATTTCTCTCTCTCATTGCCTTATTGGTAACATTTAGCCCTCTATATAAAGGGTAACTTAAACTCACTCACTAGGTCGTAACGTACGGCGCGCGATGAGTAGATGCGTTTTACTATATATATTTAGTTTCGAGATCGAAAGGTATTCAACTTTAATAATACCTGAATGGTGGCCGCGAGTTCAGCTCCGAAGCCTGAAGTGAGAGGTGCTTCGTGAGATATAAGGCACCGACCTGTTTTTTTCACTGACTGAAACGAAAAAAGCAACATTTAATAAACAGTACCACGGTCAGGTACGATAATGTAGAAACTAAGATATTCCAATACCAAAGCAAAAGTCTGACGTTTGTGTTAAATATGAATTTGATTTATACACAGTAGCACAAAAGTTATTACGGTTTAATGACGACATTAGCTCTAATGACTGTACTAAATTCGAAAATTTGTATCGGTAACGTCGCTTTAAAGTAACAAAATTTTTAATGGACTATTGTGCAACTGGGGCTAAGGTTTGTTAGTACACATTTACTTAAGAAATATTCGAGTCAGAAATTTTGCTATCATGTTTTCCAGATGAATAGTATTGTTGTTATTTTGGAGTGGCGTAGTAGATAAGCTTCGCGGCCCGCTATGTTGTTGTTCAGCAACTTTCGTAAGGGTCAGTCATAGGATGGATGACCAAAAAATTATTATCTCGAGCTACTCTGTGATGAAGGCACGTTAAGCTGTTGGTCCCGGCAGCATTTACAGTCGTTAATGCCCTTTAATCCGCATGGGCTAGCCTCCTTAACCATCCATAAGGCCTGAGCCTCGTAGAGGGGACGTAAAAGGGCCGATGTTGATGTTGTTAGTTTGCAATAAAAATAAATAGTCTTACATTGCAGACGGTTTCTTCGTCCCAGGGCAGAATCGACATTAGATCAATGACTTCCACATTGACATTCAGTTTCTCTTTTGCCATCTGTGCGACTTCTAACAGTACGTGGACTTGTGTACCCCACGCGATCAGAGTAGCCGCATCGCCTGTATATATTTATAGATGAGTAAAGAGAAAGAGAAAAGAATATATAGCGCTTTCTCTCATTTTTACCAAATCCACGAAGCGATAGGCAACCCTAAATACCTTATATAAGCTTCAAATAAAAACATAATTTTTGTGACCAGCTATTACTATGTATCTAAAAATAAATATGAGACAAAACTATAAGATTACAAAATACTTGTATACATATTGTATAAACATCTTTTGTACTTATCATTTCTTATGAACCAAATGTGGCATTTATCTAAGTTTTTGGTGATTTATACAGTACAAACAAATGGCTCAATTGATTAGAAGTTAGGGCTATATTAAAACAAAAAAAAAAAAATAGTTTGAACAAGGTCTCACCTTCTCTGAGTACTTGTGCCTTCCCTATGGGCAGTGTATAATCATCGACTGGTACCATTTCGTTAGCAGAACGGTACAATATCTTCGGCTCCAGGAACAAACAAGGGTCGCGATCGCGGACGCACGACAACAACAGACCTTTAGCAGTGATGGGACCACGGGGTATAACTACCTACCAAAACCAAAATTTAACTTAGTAGCTGTTTTGCATAACGAACGTTAACGTAAAAATTTAAAAATATACATTTATCTATGTATGATATAGAATTGACAGAATGTGTGCTGCAAATATTAAAATTTATTTGACTATACAATGTCTGTCGGGTCAGCTAGTATGATATAAAATGTTAATACAAATAAGCAACCTGTTGGCTTTAGTGTGAACGTCAAAACTAGTAAAATTTATATACCCATTCCAAAATTTGAAAATAATTTTCAAAAATATATGCTGCCCAATAGACAAAAATCCCAGGGCAAAAACGCAAGAGAGTTAGTTTATTTACTAGAATCTAGGCTAATACTATTAATATGTATGTTAATGTCGCTGGTTGTAAGTACCTTAAGTCCGGGTGTATGTGCAAAGTATGCTTCAGGGCTCTGAGAGTGGTACAGCCCGCCGTGACCCACAGCACTGCAAGGCGCACGCACTGTCAGACCCCCGCATGGGAATTGACCCCCAGAACGGTACCGAGCCTTTGCAGCTTCATTTACTAGCTAATAAAAATAAACATCACATATATTGTAGCTAACAATAGTTATAAATAGTGATGCACCAAAATAATAGTTTATCAAATATGAATACCAAATCTACTATTTGCTGAATAAGTATAATTTACTAACGTTATATTCTTCTTTTTTACTGAGATCCATTCAGTAAAATTTTAGTACCACTAAAAATACCATGTTCCACATTGAGATACTTTTGTTGTTTTTTTTTCCTTCTTCCTTTTGAATCAATCATATTATATATTGATGAAAACATATAGATAGCGAGAAGCGACTATGTATAGATAATGTGTAGATGAATTTATATACACAGTACCATAGATAATGGTACATAGCCAAACTGTTATTTGTTGTACATTCAGGTTTTAATAGATGACAGGGGTGATGATAACTGGCCATGACTTCCTGGTTTGTGGGTAGGCCTCAGGGTCCCAATGGGTAGCTTACTGACAGTCAGCTTACTGACTGACTATGATAATCAGTAAGTAGTAACTATTTGGTGAATTCCAATATTTGTATTTGTTGCAACACATAAAGAAATGGGATATAATAATAGATTGCAGATTTTGTAACATTAACAATAAAATAACTTAGCTGATAAAAATATCAATGACCTTTCAACTTTTTCAGCAAGACTAGTTGATGCCTTCCAACTAGAACTGATGTCAAGTATATCAATAAATAAAAATGTAAGATATTTTATGGTAATACTGAATTGTTCAATATAGATTATAATGAAGTATTTACAAAAGTAGTTCTCAATATAATAACAGATGTCCTAACATATTAACATTACAATGAGCAATCAAACCATGCATTAATGGATTCCAATTTTCATTCATGTAAATTGCATTTTGATAAAGAATAATACCTAAGTTGTTGTGATATATTTAGCTTTCTGTGATACTTTAAATACCTAAGCCATAGAAAATTTACAGTAATTGTTTGAACCTTATATTGTCTTTTAGTGACATTTATTTTAATAATTTCTTTTTTAAATACGTATTAGGATGCCTGTCTATGTGCACAATTTTTAATACGCAAAACATACATTTAACATATGTACTTCAAACCTGATCAAATGCTGGAAATATATAATCTGCAAATTGTATTTCTGCAATCGCTGTAGCACCAGCAGTAGCCACACCTATCCCGAAGCCTGCTATTCCTTGTTCACACAATGGAGTGTTGAACACACGATCCTTGCCATACTTTTCCTGGAATTATAAAAACATTTGAGGTGTATCATTATATTAATATTTTCACAATTAGAATTATACATCAATTGTGACTGTGTTAATTCATTCAAGTATGGTTATTAATTATTAAGTGGTAATTTAAATTTTATTATTTATCAAGTTTCTTTACTTTTGTCCCACCCCTAAGCAAATGATAGGTATGCCTATGGTCAAACTCAAAAATAAAAAATCAAACTGTGGTACTTTAATCCAATTGCAGGTGAAACTTAAAATAATGAACCTAAATTACTAATTTACCTACTCAGTTTTTATTACAATTAATAAAAGATGAGTAAATAAAGTACTAAGTAACTAGGGTGAGAAAAAGCTGTCACTAATCAGATACCCAGTAACTTTTTAAAGGAATCAACCATGTAGTTTTGAAAGTAGTAAATAACAGGTGGAGTTAACGAAAATTATTTATTAAAAACATACTTGCAAACCTAAAGCACATCTGAAGACACCTCCAAATGCAACATCTTCACCAAACAGTACTGCAGTTGGATCATTTTTTAGTGTGAGGTCCATAGCATTGTTGATGGCCTGCATCATATTCATTTTGCTTGTTTCTCCTGAAGAAAAAACATAGTAAGACTTTTAGTTCATACACACAGTAAAAAGAACAGCTTTTTGAAGTTGTTTATTTTTAACATATGAACTTTTATAAATTAGAAGCATATTTGATAGGAAAAATGTGCCTAATCTGTTAATAAAAAATCTGTTTAACATAAACTTATCACTTACCTTCCAGTGGTGCTTCATTATCAGGAAAGTAAATGAAATGTGAGGACAGTCTTTTTGAATAGGCGTTCACGCATTTTACTAGTTTTGTTAATGTAGATACGTTTTGAGTAGTAAGAGCATTCATTTTTACAGCCTGACTGGCAAGCCCCTCGTGTACTGTACGTCAAAGATGTTAAATAATACATCTTATCTGCAATTGTGGAAAATGGTAGAACAAGAGCATATCAAAAGTACTTTTTACGAATATCATAATTTGTTTGATTTTGTGATTTTATTAGGATCTCAAATAATCGAATTATAATATTCATTAAGTTTTTTTATCGAAAATGCACGAAGTTACATTTTTTTCATAGGTAGAAGTACATAGAAGACGGGAGTGCCGAACTCGAGTCTACGCATATACATGTTTCAAAACCATATTGTGCAATATATATTGGGTACATATATGCAGTATTATACATTTTTGGAAAGGTTGTTTCATGCTTATTACGTTACAGCTTCTTAATTTCTAAAGCAGTGACAATTATGTCAGTAAGTAATTAAAAAGTGGCATACCTTATTTTTTACTTTTCTTTTTTTTCGTCTAAGGTTTTCAATATTACCCACGACTCCCCACGCGCAACTTTTTATGTTAATTGTTAGTCTAACTATTCAGGAACAGAATACAAAAAAAAACAGCTGCGGAAGTTTGCGGTTTTAGAAAATATAAGAAATAATGTGTGAAAAGTCGGGAAAAAAAAATCAGTATCTTTTGCGGTTTACCACAGACACCGTTCACAAGGACAATAATTATATTACTTTTGGAATATTTTATTTATTTAGCGATAACAAAGGAATCTTATCAAATTTGCACTCGTTATGCGTGAGAAATTACTAGATAATAATTATGTGGGTACCAATTTGATATTGGAAACAATTTGATATGGCAATACCGCACGAAGGTTTTTTTTTTTAAATTACACTTGCTCAGCGGAAATTACGGGTGTAGACGAAACATTTAATCAACATCGAAAATGCACGAAGTTACATTTTTTTCATAGGTAGAAGTACATAGAAGACGGGAGTGCCGAACTCGAGTCTACGCATATACATGTTTGAAAACCATATTGTGCAATATATATTGGGTACATATATGCAGTATTATACATTTTTGGAAAGGTTGTTTCATGCTTATTACGTTACAGCTTTTTAATTTCTAAAGCAGCGACAATTATGTCAGTAAGTAATTAAAAAGTGGCATACCTTATTTTTTACTTTTTTTTTTTCGTCTAAGGTTTTCAATATTACCCACGACTCCCCACGCACAACTTTTTATGTTAATTGATAGTCTAACTATTCAGTAACAGAATACAAAAAAAAACAGCTGCGGAAGTTTGCGGTTTTAGAAAATATAAGAAATAATATGTGAAAAGTCGGAAAATAAAAATCAGTATCTTTTGCGGTTTACCACAGACACCGTTTACAAGGACAATAATTATATTACTTTTGGAATATTTTATTTATTTAGCGATAACAAAGGAATCTTATCAAATTTGCACTCGTTATGCGTGAGAAATTACTAGATAATTAGATAATCCTATTGGACAGCTGTCGGAAGACGCACAAGAGTCTCGCAACAAAGACTACAGAAACATGCGACTTCATCATGCCAAAAAATGTTCCCGGTCTGCAACAAATGAAGATGTCTTTAAAATGCTTTTGTGCACGTCAGATCCATATATAACAAGTTTAAGAAAACCATACTTAAGAAATGTAAAAAATCTTGAAGAAGAGGCAATAAGTCTTTTAAAAGTGGTACCTGAAAGTGAACGCACGTTTACTGACCCTGATCCTGAAGCAATATAGGTACCTACCAAAATAAAAATAATATTGATATTTAGTTATTAGTAATGTTTGTAACGAGTTATATCAATCTCTGAAGCTACAGGACCTAGTATAGTTTGTTTGTTCAGCAAAAAAAATATTTTTTATTTTTTATTAATTGGGTAATTTTGTATTTAACCATAGTTTTAACCTTTTTGGTCATTAAAACTTGTCTTTCTTTTGGAATTATTTTTTTTACCATTTTATTTTTGTGTTGACCCATTTTTTTTAATCTCTATGACATATAACATATATATGTATATAGAAAAACACTACAAATTATACATCATTTGAATTTCCAAACCTCACTGAATATTTGTAGCAAATTTCATTGCGGTACTACAAAAAATCATGAAGTTATACATTTTTGATCCGATAACGACCGATTTTGCCCACCGTAGAGAGAGATTAGAAGTATAATGATATTAATTTAGTATGGGAACCGAGTGTCGCCTCTCCGCACACAAATGCAGATTAGATGAAATGATCATTTTGTTCACTACATGAAAAACCGCCACGCGATAGGTTCGCGATAACATAAATCAAATCCCAAAAAGATACTAAGCTAAGAAATCACACGATTAAAAACAAACTCTAATTCAACGTGATAATAAATAATTTACTTTAACATGAATGTTGAACTGTCACGTGGCTGTATATGGGGATACCAGAAGGAAAAAAATATTTTAAGATTATGCACATTTAAAAAAATTGGGGTCATCATTTTATGTGCGAACTATTAATATTAGATTTTGCTGTAACCAAGTGAATACTGAAAAATTAAGGCTTTTCCCTACATAATTTATTAAAATATCTTTTAAAAAACGCAGTACAAAAACTAAGAAAACTTAATGATACACTCTATCGTATGTCTGTGGAGTAATATAATTAAGCGAGGGAAAGTGTAAAAAAAACAAAAATTAAGAAAACAACAGAATTTTTGTATTAATTACATTAAGCCTAATTTGTATTTTTTTCTTACTGGTATCATTCCGATTGTGCATATTAGTGATGTGACATATTAGTTGATAAAATAAGAGCTTTAAATTTTGTTATGAAACAGTTCAATGTAATTCAGTTCGACAATTTTCTACAGTGGTTTGATAGTAATTATTTAAAGCTTTATTCAAATAAAACGAAATACATAAAGTTTGCATTACCTAATGTGAGGCATGTTAATATACTTATAAATGTAAATAGTGAAAAAGTTGAGATGGTGGAATCGACAAAGTTCCTTGGTATTTTGGTATATTGATAATTTGTCAAGTAGACTGAGTTCTGCAGCATTTGCTGTTAAGAAAATTAGACTCTTAACAAATGTTGAAACGGCAAGATTGGTATATTTTAGTTATTTTCATAGTGTAATGAATGACGTATAATCTATTGTTATGGGGTTCTGCGGCTAGCATTCAAGATATTTTTATTCTACAAAAGAGAGCTGTCCACGCTATATATAATTTACGGTCTAGAGAATCTCTCAGAGAAATATTTAAAGAAATAAATATTTTGACTGTTGCCTCTCAATACATCAATGAAAATATTATGTACGCAAGAAAACATTACGATTCCTTCACAAAAAAAAGTAGAAATAAAAATAAACTTGCCATTCCAAGTGCTTGTAATAGCCTTCTTGAATAAAGATATTTTCATTTCATTTCATAATAACTAATATGATCATTACACTAATAAATTGATCATAGCCATGTTTGTTTTACTTTATTATTCTAAGTTTTATATCTGTAATAATAGTAGTAGCTACATTATTAATTGCAACGACTGGACAATAAGGAATCGCTGGTCAAGTATGAGTTTGAAAGCCGTGACAAAAAAAGTTTGAAGATAGACACAAAAGCGATAAGTACGTACAAACGTCAATCTACATATAAAGTCACATCCGTTTGAGACATGCGTCTATAAACTTATGTGCAAATATGGAGCAACAAAAAAACTGATAAAAGCTGTTCTGTGGGCGGTTCTTTAAAGTGACTTTCTTAACTCGATTTCTATAATAATAGTTTCCGATTATGAATCAGCAGAATAAGGTAAATTAAATTGACGCCTAAAAATTAATTTTGTAAATTAAATTCACACCACCAACAATATTACGTTAGTTGAAAACATAATTTTTTGTTTGTATAGATATTATGTTGTTTTGAAATTCATTTGATAGGTTTAGGTCTAAAACAGATAGGGCAAAATTAATTATGTAAACAAGGCAATCCGTTGTAAAGTTATTAGGGAAACTGAAATATAAGTAATGCAAAATAAGTGAAATCCAGTTTCACCAGTTTCTAACAAGACCTATTAGGCCAACTCTTAGCTTTTCACGAAGTTTCGTTTAATTTATGTATTGTTCATAAAACGGTGATATACTTCGTAACTTAGATATTTATAGCACATCAGTAATTTTTAATATTTATCTGCGTGTAAATAATTAACCGAATCTTCGTATTAAAAGTGCCTGGACAGTTCATTATTTCATTTGTTCAGTATCAGTTCATCTATAATTTTCCCTTGTAAACAGTATTTTTTAGTTTTATATAATTATGGCATATATTTATCGATAACGTTGTTATGAAATGATGAAAGAAAAGCTCTAAATAAATATGTTTTAGTTATCGATTACGATCCATATAAATAACAATACGATTCCGAGCAGCAGCAGCCTATCGGTACATTTCAGACAAATGGAGGCACAGCACTATTTTTTGCAAAAGTGCACAAAATGATTTACATTGCTGTTTAGTAATGGGGTCAGAAACATTGATGTTGGTTTGAGCAATCAATGTATATTTTATTTAACATTGTGTCAAATTATTACGTTTTTTATATTTTAGCACTAAAATTGTACTTACCAGTGAAAGGAAATGTTTGCATTAGTTAGATTGTATACTTTGCTTTGCTTTTTGCAAGTGATAATAGCACAAAACGGCATTTTTTATAAAAAAAATCTGTAAAATCACCACTCGACGATTGACGAACGACTGGCAAACATAAAACCGAGGAAAGGGCGTCATATGAGTAAAAGCGCATATGCCAGCGACGCGTGCCCCGCCCACTTACTACTTCTATTCTCTCTCTATGTTCTGTGTAAAAAAACCCTATCGATTTTTTGTCATTTCATTTGTCTTTAAAAAGATGGTCCGAGACAATATCCAAGGACTGATGGAACTGGATGGTGGGATGTAAACTTTGTAATGAAATATCATAACCCCCTTGAGTTTGGATTGATCTGCATCCTTAGTCAAGAGTACGAAACGGCACATGCAATGTCGACTAATCGCAATTGCGTTCGAGAGTAAACATGCTGATTTGTCTATACAAGATCTTAGATAATAGATAATATCCGAGGAAGATTTTTTTAGGAAAATAATTCTTATTTGCATAATTACATTGTGATTGTCGGAAGAAGGTCGTGCTCAAATGTCTGC